CCCGTCAGCCAAGCAGGGGCCGGCGTTTTGCTGCGAGGTCCAGCTAATCCTCCAAACAGCTTTAATATTCTCGTGATGGCATCCATAGCGCGAGCTGCAAAGGCAGACTGCACCTTGGTCTTGTCAATGCCAATCCACTTGAATAGTCTTTTGCAGGCGGCAGTTCCCATTGGTGAACTTGTGGCTTGCTGAGATTCTCCTTGGGTGAGCTAAAGAGGTCACCAATTCGGTGTGCAACAGGTAAGGCTGGTACAAGGGCACAGCAACTTGCTGTGACAGCAATGAGAGAAAAAAGTACGATTGGCCATTCAGGCTACAAGGATTTCTGGGTTTCCGCAGAAAACGAAGCTTAGGACTGACTGAGTCTTCATCATCGCAAGGCTGAGCCCTGGCGCCCGCAAGCTGCTGCACTCTTGGCAGATCTGGGTCGAGGCCGGGGAGCTAGGCCAGACTCTCCTAGTCCTCGAGGGGCACCGGAAGATATCGGAAGAGAGTGCTGGTGTCACCAGGAACAGTTGACGTCCCCTCCGCCGGCGTTCAGGCGCCCAGAACCAAGGATCTGGCTGAGGTGCTCTTGAGTGCATTTCGGCACAAGGAAAGAGGATGCAACCGCTAAATAGACTAAAGACTGGATTTGCCGCGAAAGCTTAGGTTGCTGGTGAAGCTTGCGAGGGCTCCATCCGGAGGTGAGATGCTGAGATCAGCGAATGTCTGTGCCACTGCCTTCACATTCACTCCAGTGAAGGCGACCTCAGCTCTTCCATGGGTGGCTTGAAGCTTCTGACGCGGGTGATGAAGGTCACTGTGCTACCAAGTTTTGATTCGTCCTCAAACCCATCTGCCGCGAGGCTTGGGCAATCCGAGCAGAGCAGCTGAGCGAGGAGGTCTCCTTGACAGTTGATACGAAGACTCGAACCAACCCGCAGCCTAAGGCGCATGCAGCCATCTCGCAGGCTGTGGTGAGGGATTCCGTGTTGCCAGGCGCATGGGCGAGGCTCCCAGTTGGGACATGCACTGGCTCTGCTAAGCAGATTTTCCACTGAACTCAGGCTCTGGCAGCCGTCACACTCGGCGCGCTCCCGGACTTGCTGACCAGCGAGGCAGGCTGCGCACGCGAGCTGACGCCTTTGTTATGTGTCTCTTCACCGTGCGCCAGATGTCCATCGCTGTCATCAAAGAGGCCGATGATGGGAGCCGTGATGATGCGGTTCTGCAAATGGTACAGAGTCACCCGACCGATATTGGATTAGATTCGGGTGTCTCAGATAGTACGGAATCGAATGCTCCACGCGGTTCTCTCGATTTCCGTCGACACCGACGACTGAGGCCTCGGTGTCGAATGTCAGCGTTTCGTGGTTCAACTTCGACAGGACGGCACGGCACCTGAGCCGCTTATGCTGTTGCTCAGCCTAAGTGCGGTGGCAGTGGTACGTAGGAGCTACAGCGGCAGTGGCAGACGAACCGGCAGTAACGTGTTTTTCGCAGTATCTGTAGCCTGCACTAAGCCACGATAGTAAGGCTCAGTAAGGGAACCCAGGCTGAGCTGGCAACATTCGCCCGCGAACTGCGTAATCGAGCTGCCTGGCAGGAGCGCGGCCGCCTGAGAGCAGCGGCGAAGGCAGTAGAGGCGACCGACACAGCACACGAGCTTGCAAGCAACTGCGAGTGCCGTGCTGATGTCGGAAATCTCTGGGATCAGGTCTTACAGCTTCAGGATCACTTCCCTGACGCGGGGTATCTCTGGCGACAAGAGGCACTCAACTCTTCCAGGCTCTTGTTTTCCATTGGGTTTGGGTGAAGGCTCTCGAGGCTGCCATCGAGAAAGGCGTCGTGTTCGCAGACCGCGCGGGCCTCTAATGAGACAGTGACAGTGCTTGCCAGTGCTTAGGGCGACGAGAAGCGGTGGTTGGACTGGGCTGCGAGGCAACCGCTCTTCACGCCGTGTGAGCGTCCGCGAGAGAACTTCGACCTGTCAGGAGGTGCGGCTGCGCGGCAGATGTGTGGACGGCCTTCTGCAGTGTGGCGAGGTCCGCAGTTGCAAGCTGCTACCAGTCGCATGGGTGTCAACGCTTCGTCACACTCTGAATTTGGTCGAGTATCCAGTGATTGTCAGCAACAGTTCTTTGGAATTCTCTGAGAGGCATAGTTAATTTTCCAGGCTCTGGGAAGGTTCGCCGGAAGTGGTTGTTATGCAAAAGCACGGCCCGCACCCGCGGCGGAGGTGGAGCTGGCCGTTGACTTGGCAGATGCCTGGGCTGTTGGCATTCCTGAAGATGTGCGGAAAGCCGACGCAGAGAGGGCGAAAGAGGAGGCCGCTTTTTGGCAGCTGCTCTGGTGCACTGTGATATTTCCGGTCGGAGGGGCCCTACCTCCGCCTTCCCCGAGATGTCGATGTTCAACTGGTCGCTACGGAGGCCGAACAGTCTTGAGGCCTTGGCTCGGACAAACTGCTAAAGAAACCAGTCCCAAACAGGCCCGCATCGAGGGCATGCGAGGAATCCTCCTGGATGCCAGCGTCATTGGTGTAGACCTGGACTGTCGCCTCGTCAATGATACTTTCGGTCTGGGCCATTCCGACGCTGTCGTTGCATAGGAGTGCAACATGGGTACGGGCGCGTCCCGATCCCAGGTCACCTTTGCATCCTGTCGGATTCTGTCGGTTTGAAATTCCGAGGCCCACCCTCCTTCAGCTTGCCACTCTCCGTCAAGCCTTCCTGGCATCTCGGACTGGACACTGGACTTAAGGCGTCTTAAGGCTCTGGCCTTGTCCTGCCTTGTCTCCAGGTTGATCTCCAGGTTGTGGGCAGTTGGCCGAGCTTCGCAACGGCAATGCAGGACTAGTTATGGGACCGTTTCCTTCTTTGGCGGACCTGGGTCACAACACTCCAAGAACCTGTTGAATGCTGCTCAGCTCATACTACATTTGTTGTGCAGATGTTATGGTTTTGATGCAGGCAAGCTTTGCGTGGCAAGTGAATAGGCAGTGTAGCCCCTACGAAGTCTGATGCATCAAACACAAGCCAGCACTCAATACTCCAAGATGAATTCTCGATCCAGAGCCATCCGAAACGACGGTACGACACCTGAGTTCAGCATAATCTCTCCCCCGAATTTCGGTCCAGCAAAAACACCTTTCATGCGCGAGGTCCAGGTTCACAGCGTTCCCGTTGCTCAGTGCTTCTTTCTAAACCTTCAAATCTGCAGACCGCAGGCCCTGCAGTCTTTTTTTGTTCCTGCGGCTGCATCGACTGCAATCCGCCTGGAGTATGCCTTCAGTCCTACGCTCCTGTGGTTGGAGCCTGCAGTTCCCCGGCAGCGCGAACTGACCGTCCGTATCAGTGGAGTGTAACAGGAACCCGGCACGGATCTGTAACGTTAACCGGGCTGCTCCCGTGACACCGCCCCACCGCCCTGCGGAAACAGTCTGGTGGGGATTGGGGCTCTGCGCTGCCAGGATACCATAAAGCTGAAGTCAGCAATCAGATGGCATAACCGTAAAGGTAACCCGTACCACGCCGAAGAAGCACTGCAAGCTTGCCAATTGAAATAGTCTTTGGCGGCATTCCCGGCAAACGTTAACGACAACCATGTTATTTAGGGGACCTGTAGTGCTGGGAGGTGCTCGTCATGTCCTTGTCCGGCAGGGTCGGGGTCGGAACAACCCTGTCAGCAAGGACGTTTGCTCCGGCCACGCGAGAAAAGTCGGCTTTGGAATTGCGGAAGACTTAGGCCAGATTGAAAGCCTTGGTGCATTGATTCGGCAGACATGTCGAGCCATGTGGGAACATGAGCCTTGTAGGCAAACTCTCCAAGAGCTTCCCGTCCCTTACGGCTGCAGCTTGCGCAGCCCCGCTGAGTGACTTGAGGGATGTCGAGGCCGTTCCGGGTGTCGTCTGTTCTTTCAGCGCTGAGCAATCTCAGTCTCAGTAAGAGGCGCAACTCAGATCCCTTGAGCCTGCGGCCAAGAGACTGTTGTCTCCGTCGTGGTCGGCCGTGAGTTGATCTCTGCGCGAGTGGAGGTCCGGCATCGGAAAGAAGAGAGCTCGAGAAGGGATCAGCCTCTCTGCTCTTGCCCGAGCCCCAGAGAGCCTCAGCCCGTGGAGCAGCGTTACAGCACTCCGCGGGAGTGCCAGCTGTGTGCCAGCTGAGAGGCCGAGAAGTACTTGGGCAAGCCCCTGGACAAAGCCTTCCAGGTCAGCATCCCTGACGCTGGAAGCAAATCCATGCCACTCGATTGTCGAGGTTGGAGACTGGAGCCACCGCCCCCTCTCCCAGGCCGGAGACCAAGCGGACTCTCGTTATCCTGTGGCAGAGGATCTGGGCATTGCTCTATGTCTGAGACCCCCTGCTTTGACCCCTGTCCAGGGACGTATTCTGTCAATATGCAGTGCCGGGAAGCTTTCGGCACCCAGTAGTTGCTGTTGCTGTTTGAAAATTCCTATTATTAGTATTTCTCTGACCAGTGCCACTTCCGCTGCGACAGCTATTGCTGCTGCTACTACTAATGCTGTTACTATTAGCGGAGTTCTGTGCATGGACCAAAAGGTCAGATCAGGGAATCCGGGGGTCTCCATGAGTCTTCCGAAAGTTGCAAGAAGCCTTGGAAGCTTCAACATGAGCAAGCGGCTTCTTGATAGCATGGGCGACAGAGCTGTGACAAATATCCCGTACACGGAAGGCATTCCTGTCGTGCATGGTGACCGAACACTGGCTCCCTGCTGTTGAGGGAGGACTCGCCTGGCCCACCCATGCCCTTGAGGCGCGGATGCACTATGCGGCGCTGGATGCCTGGGTCCCTGTGAAAGTCGGCGCCTGACAAATAGCTGCTTTGTCCAACCCTCCACCGGCAGATGGCGGAATTTTTCGAGGTCTACGAAGCCGTGCAGACCTCGCCCCCGCAACCTCAGCCGGCAAGTGCAAAAAGATGCACCCAGAGACGGGTCTTGAAACCTCAACTGTTGCATTGCATGTTGCTTTACTCTACCCGTTCATCTGTACAGGACAAGATTCTGAAGGAAAGCGATGAGTTTGTGCCAGCAGCCGAGCATAGTCGAGCATGGCGTTGCCTGTGAACGTGGATACGCCAGGTCGACGATGGCAGCTTTGCTCCAGCCCTACTGTGAAGATGCCTTGGGAAAGGCCGAACAGACCCAACCAAGGGAGCCGCTGGCCTGCCTTTGGTCTCTGCAGGTAGTGGATGCGAGAACACCTGGCCTGGTGAGCCTTTCGTTCCCACCTTCAGAGGCAGGGTCCCAGCTTTGTGCCAAAAGCAGTGCCTGCCGTGAATTGCAGGATGTGGAGCCCCAGCCCACAGAGGATTACATTCTTGCAAGCTTTTACTCCACATGGAGGCGAAGGCGCGCGCGCCTGCAGCTAACCATGCACGTCTTTGTCGGTCTTCTCAGCATAGTATGGGCTTCCCTGGGCCAAATCTCGTGCAGTCAGCTGAAGATGATGCACTTCCTTGGGCCCGGAGCTGCTCAGGCACGGCTAAAAAGTCGCTTCTCAGGAGACAGCATGCAGCATGCATACTGGGCCAGTAATGGGCCGGTAGATTCACAGGGCAGTAGATTGAGAGGGAACATGATGCAGCCATCGTCTGACACAAGGTGAAACTGAAACCGAAGGAGGATGACACGGCCGCTTAGACGAACGAGCATTTTTCGCTGAGCCTTTGTACAGTGTGCCTGAAAGGCTGGCGAAGAAGCTGGCCACCAGGACTTGAGACTTCTGGTGATTGGGGCCCCGTGCGTGGATGTATCGCTCTGTTGTTCCATTCGTGCGCTCAATGTCCGTGCCCCTGCCCAAGCGCTATGGCGCTTAGCTGTTAGCTAGGAAAGGGACGGCAGAGCAGATGCCTGCATGGACGACTTTACACAGAACTTGCACCTCACACAGCAGCGAAGCATGGACCGACGTGCCTAGAAAAGGCAGCATTGCAGACCGCTCCCACATGCACTCTCAAGAAGGTGGAGGTATCAGAGAACCAGCTTGGGAAACAGTGAAATAATGCTGGGACCCGGGTTGCCTTTCGCCGTGACTCCCGAGAAGAGGCGCAGGGATGAGGTGCTGCCAGGCTTCTCTGGTGCGGCGAATTCCGCGCAGGTGCAGCCTGTGGAACGTAACACCTAGCACTGAGCCGCCAAAGTCATGCGATGCGCTCAAGCACGCTCCGAGCCCGTGCGAAGCTCTTATGTAGAGTCCTGCAGAGGTCGATCCAGTACAGCGAGCGACTGCCAGCAGCTCGAAGGGCTTCACAGCAGAGGGCACCGAAGGGTTCAAGACTTCTTTGCTAAGGTCCGTATCCTGCCGGGGAGTCTTCCGAGGCACCGCTTCAAAAGTCCCAAAAGCCTCAAAACGTGGCACTTGTGTTTGGACGAGGCGATCCCCTGCAGTCTCCAGGAGCGACTCCTGCAACACGCTGAGGCCCAGCAAGAGGCCCTGCCTGTTCACCAGAGAGCAGGGCGATGCAGAGCGGCGTAGAGAGTGCCTGTCGCAGGCTGGAGATCGAGATGGACTGGTGCAGCTCCAAGCGTCCTCCGGATGGGGCAGCGCATGACAGAGCTGCTAAGCCTTGCAGCGTCTTGCAGGCGAAAGTACACTGGGAAGCTCTTCTGGTGGTGCTCCCGTGCTTCTCCGGCTATGCGGCGCTCTTCGGCCTGCAGCACGAAGTCAAGGTGGCAGCAGAGACATGCGGCAAGTGCCGGTCATGTCATGTCGCGTCGGCGTCGCAGGCGCGCTTCCGCATCGCGGATGACAGCTCAGACGCCTCGCACAGCTTTGGTGCAGCCGTGTGGGCACCTCAGTGCTTGACAGTTCAGCCCGCGATGGGACCAATGCAGCGGTTTTCTGTCTTCTGCCCCTCTCCAATGTTTGGGGACTTTCAATAACTAGGCCAGGCTGCACCAACGCACTTTTTCGGGGTTGCGGGTCACAGTACTATTACTATTTTTGGTGGTGGTGGTGGTAGTAGCAGCAGCAGCAGCAGCAGCAGGAGTAGTAGTAGTAGTCGTCGTCGTCGTCGTCGTCGTCGTCGTAGTGGTGGTAGAGTTTTGCGTCTCTGGACGGGGGTGGGCACTGCACCCATTTGCCCTCGCGCCCCCTTCCTGGGAGCCGACAGCCACATCCAACCACCATGCGTGGAGCTTGCATGGGGTTGTGTTTTCGTGTCTGCCATTTTCATGCGGATATTCGACATTCGTAATAGCAACACATGACTAGACTAGGACCAGGACGAGGACGAGGAGTAGGAGCAAGGAGTAAGGAGCAGGGAGCAACGAGTAAGGTCTTAGGAGTAGGAGTCCGAGTCGGCGTCGGAGGAGCAGCAGAGACAGCGGCAGAGGCAGCAGAACGGGAAGCGGGGAAGACTGCCGGACGAGCAGGTCTTGCCTGTATCTTTTTGGCCTCATCTTCCGCATTGGCCACAAGGTATCCAGCTCGGTTTGCTGGCAGCCAACCTCAAGAAATCCGCACCTTTCTGGCTCCATTTCGAGGTAGTTTTCTCCAACCTTCACCCACGAATCCGGGTGCTGGTCTGTCGGCAGCATGCAGTTCGAAAGGCATCGCGGACGTTTCGTTGAACGTCTTGAAGCTGGTGGTCGCATGCACTGAGGTTGCTCTGGGCTTCATGATGCTGTCCATGTTTCTTGGAAACCACGATGGACTGAGCTCGTCGCATGAGGGGCATCAGCGGCTTGGCGATCAGTGCTAAGGTTGGTGATGGCTGTTGTTATCCTCACACTGGAATGCTACAGTCTTTACTGGGCAGCGAACTCAATTTCCGGGCGACCGCTTGCAGTCAAAGCAGTGGGAGAGCATGGCGGTGGCTTGCGGCATTTGCTGAGGTGGTTTTTGCTTACGCACTGGGTGGCGCCGTTGCTCGGCGAAGAAACAGTGAGTGAGCAGAAGGACAACTGAAGCTTCTTGGCTGGAGTATGGTGGAAGAGAAGCTGTGCTTGGAGGCCATGGGGTCCTTTGAGTCCAACTTGCTGACCTGCTTGACACCTTTGGGAAGTCGCACCAAGAGCATTGCCATCCTCGGCCGTCGCCTTAGACGTCATAGGGGCACAGTGCTTCAAAGCATCCCGAAATCCTGGAGCTGAGGCATTCCGCTGGGCATCAACAGTATTTTGATCGGTGGATTTTATCTCATGGGGCCACCACTCAAGGCCTGGGCATCGACAGGGATTCATGTGAGGTTCGGCGTTTTTTGGCCTTTTCCTCCCAGGTGTCCGTCACGGCTGTCTTCGCAGCGGTGGCTGTGTTGAACCTCATGGGAATGCGTGGCCCTAAGTCACCATCCTCGCGGCAGCATGTTTGTCAGGAACGGAGGCGGTGTGACCGGGAGCCCGGCATGTATCCAGTGCATCCGGCAGCATAGTTTGCCGAGGCTGATCTTTGCGCTGCGCATACCACGCCCCGCACATGAGACAGGCAATCAGATGCTTGCGATGACAAAACAGAAGGGGGGTCATGCTGGTCGTGAGGCATCTGGAGGTTCACAGGCATTTTCCTGCAGTCGGCCTGAATGGCCTGAAGCACCGGGCCATGTGTGCACAGTCTAAACCAAAAAAGCTGTCGCCAGCGAGATCGGAATATGTATTCCACATGGGGTTCACTGGTCCGGCGATCCAGCATGCAGGTGGCGAGTGTGGGGCAAGCGAGATCGTCGCAGACTGCAAGGGCTGCAGGCGCCCCCCGCTTCGGAACTTGCTTGGAACTTGCAGAAGTTGTCTCATGCTTCTTCGCGAACCGAATCTCTCAGCCCCTTGCCTCGTGCAAGAACGGAATGCGGTCCAGCATCCTCCTACTGCAATCCTTCATGAGACCCCATGACGCATCTACGATACTTCCTCAAATGTCAGGCAGTGGTTGCCACGCGTCTGGCACTACCCACTTGCTTTCGCCGTTGGAGCCTTGGGAATGGTCTGGAGTTGGAGCAAACCGAAAGCGGAGTGCTTGAGAGATGGATGGTGTGCGTCGTGTTGTTGTAGGAAGCTCCCCAGCAGCCAATTGACTTAGGTTGACACCTTCACGCTTGCGGGCTTCTCTCCGGGTCTTTCCCTGTACTTGTATGACCAGGCAAGGACTCGAATGAAGTTAATTACTTCTTCGTCAAACGTTGTGTTGTGTGCGGCCTGCCCAGTCCACCATGAAATGCAGGAGGTAGTGCAGCTGACCGAGAGCTTCGCGATGGCAACGAAGACGTGCACCTCCCATATCTTGTTCAGCATCAATGCCAGCTGATTGCGGGTTGGCTCGGTACTCTCACGCTCTGAATGTTGTGATAGGTTCTTTGCGTTCTACAACACAGCCAATATGCTCGGAGGCTCTTTCTTCGATTGGCGCGCGACAGCCGTCTCCTGTCTCACATGTTGTAGAGATGCTGTGTCGGACAGCAGCGGCTAGGTCTTTGTGGACGATGGCTCAGCTACCGAATTCGTCCACGCCATCCGGCCGTCTACGTAGGCATCGACCATTTGGTTCACCCGAGTCGATACAGCTACAGTTGCAGTAGAATGGCCTATCGTATTTGCGAGGCTTCAGTTCTGTGGGCGTCTTGCTGCTTCTGTCGCTGCGGCCTGTCAGTCCCTCAGAAGAGTCTTCAGATTCGTGTGCAACCAAGAAGCTATCTACTGAGCTGGAGCTGCAGGTGCTTGCTCCATCGGGAGCTTTCTTTGTGGCTTGACTTGGTGAGATCACCGTCCACAAGCATTTCGAGACGCTGCGAACCAGACACACTTGTCATGACTCTGAGGTAATGCTAGGAGACGGGTTGATCTATGGCACAATCAGCGCGGCTCCCAAACAACCCTTTGCTGATGCCTGAAGCAGATGCTGCACGCTGGTACGCTGTTGGTCTGTGTTTTCGCGTGCCTCACGGTTTGTTTGCCTTTGTGCTACATCCGTCTTGTTCTTTTGTGAGTCGGTTCGTCCGTTTGCGTCTGTGTCTGTGGTGGTTTCTGCTGGCCTTTGCGTGCCTCTGTCTCCATCTATGCTGAGGTCGCTACGTCGATTCTGCTGTACCTGAGGATGGGCATGGTCTCGTTTGATCTCGTTTATCGGTCGGATGGTTCAGCCTACCGTGTCTCGTTGCAAGAGGCATTCGATCAGGGACTGCAGTCGTCTTGAGCAGGAGTTCAATCTCATCGCGATTTCATATTGGCTTTTCATCGGCGACATTGGCAGTCTCGTGGGGTGACGGCCTGGGAATCACGGAACATGTCGACGATTTACAGTCGCAGACCGTGAAAGCTGATCGAGGTCAAATCTGATCTGCTACCTCCGCGACTGGCTTGTGCCAGGTTGAGTTGCATTTTGTCCGAAGAAGCTGTTAATTCGCAGCATTAATTCGCGGAAACGAGCAAATCCCTTTGTGAATCGTCCAGGACATCCCCTCGGTCCAGGTTTACTTGTGATGTTTACGTGATACTGTGCGAAACGCCAGCTCTGACGCTGGAAGCCTTGTTGGTGAGGATTTCCTGGCAAGCAATTCAGCTCCCACCTGCACCGCTGGTAGCTTTTTCAGCAGTGCTGCTGGCGCAATGAGCTGGCGGTTCTCAGACGAGTGCGAGGCAGGAGCCAGGAGTCTCGTAATTCGGTAGTTCGTATGGTGCTATGTCGGTCTCTAGGGCTCTTTATGCTCGCACCTCTCGTATGAGGGCGTTGAAGATTGTTTGTAGGCAAGGGTGGCATGCCTATATTTCATGCTTTACCATGAACCCGCGCAAGGCACGGGCAAGGGAACGGAGCACCGTAGGTTTTCGTGCGGTGAGCTGCACGAGCTGCGCTACACGTCTCCAGGGAAGTGGTCAAGGGGTGTGTGACAAAGCAGAGATGGTTTTCCTTGCTCGCATGGTCGGAAGCACGCATGGCACTGCCGCATACCTAACTGTTTGTCAGGATTCGGTGCAGATATCTGCCGGATCAAACACCATATTGATCTTCCGCTTTGCCCTTGGCCACTCCGAGCCGGCTTGTAATTGCTGCCGATTCCGCTACAAACTCAGGTCCTGGCATGTTCGACCTGGAATGCAGAACAGATGAGGATCAGATAGGGGACTTCATGCTTGTGTGACATCGAGATGTTATAACATCCACGGAGGAGACACTGATGCTTTCAGCATCTTTGCTCGAGCATGTGGACCCGCATGGGCCTCGTGGGGCCATGTGAGACTCTTCTGCTTGCATACGTCCGGAGCGGTGGGTTCTGCAGGCTGATCCTGACTGGCAACGAAGTCGGCGTCGCTCGGCGGCACGAGGTGGTAGGCTTGCAGTTCATGCAAGACTCTCTTGGATCCGCCGAGGACCTCGACTGGCTGCGGTGTGTTGAAGGCCCACCTGGTCCAGAAGGCCACGCCATCAACGTCCTGACCCAACTGCGGAAGCTGTCCTGTTACGCTTCAGCAACGCCTCGTACTCGTGGAGCCGAGGTGGTGAACCTGTCAAGCCGGCTTATGGCCAAGTTTGACGAGCCCGAAGCGTGCTCCGTTGCTGTCCACTTCCTGTCTTTCGTTTTGTGGAGCTGCTTCCCCTAGGAACCCACTTTTCATCCGGCTCGAAGCTAAATGGCTTAGTGTAGGCAGATTGTTGCGACTTTCTCATATGTGTATTGTGCACGACTGAGTAGTGGAAGCATGATGGAGACCGCCAGAGTTCAGAAATGTTGCAAGAATGAAGACATATTGCAAGAGTGACAGTAGACAGTAGAAGCGAAGCCGAGCCTTCCACCTCCAGGCACAGACTTTCGCAAAGCACACAGGCAGTCCGCCACACAGACGGAGCTGGTAGATCAAGCATGGCGATGCGCTGTGCAGCATGCTGTGATGCCTTTTAAGGCGAGGCTGCACCGGGCAAAGTTACAGATCATCTCTCATATTGTACAAGGTTCCGCGGCCACCAGTTGATGATGGTTTCTATGTGGCAGTTCCCAGCTACAAGCGTGCGCAGGGTGCCCGAGCCGTTTTACGCTTTCGGCAACAGGCGTTACGGAAACTGCCCCGTGCGCCAAGGGAGTTGATCCAGCGAAAGACACTCGCAGTATTGCAAAGGCATGGGACCGGCGGCGAGTATCGAGTTCTCGTACCATCGCAGTCATCGAATTTTGACAGGCACGGCATTCCAAAGCACCGCGTCTACATTTTCGTGGCATCAGAGTCCGAGCGCTCTGCATGCAATCAGAGTAGCTCAGTGCTTTTGCGTGTCTCGCTTGATGCTGCAATGGTGTCTTGATTCCAGGTACGCGGTGTACCGCTCTGCATTGAGTCCCTGCCTCAATGTCTAAAAAGTCAAATATCTTCTCCACTTTCTCGGGTTTTAATTTAGCATCCTTTCACAGCACTTCAACACTCGGACTACTTAGTGCCTAGACATTTCATTGCCGGCATGCCCGGCGCAGTCAGGGAAGTTTTCCGCAGTCTTTCATGAACGGCTCCAGCCGCTTGCTGGTAAGATTGACACCAGCTTTGGTTGTTGGTCGTTTCGACGGGTTTCGAAGATCATCGAAAGAACTGTAACTGCAGCGTAACTGTGTGACTTGTCACTGCAGACTTCCGGCGTGCTAAGCCATGCGCCTGCGCCATGCCATCTGGCAGAAGCTGCAGCCCAGCCCTGCGTCACCGAAGACTGCACAAGGGCAAGCTATCGAACTGCTGCACTAGAACTGCGGCATTAGGCATTGCCAGTCGTGGGCAGAGGTCAGCAGCAATCCAAATCCGTCCAGGACACTTGACTTGGTGGCGTTGGCAGAACAACTTGGCCAGCTCCCACAGCTGCAACGCAAGCAGCAGACTGAGGAAATTGAAAGGGTCCTCTCTCTCTCTCTCGCTGTTTCTGTCTCTTCAGTATGCACATGGGACTGAATCATCACGGTCGGTCTCTCTCTGTCTCTCTGTTCGCGTCAATCGTCGAGGCCATGGGTGATCTTAAACGACTGTCGAGCTGACTTCGAGTCGGCCATGGGACTCAGCACGGATGCCTTGCAGCTTGGCATGAGCGGCAGTAGCGCACAGGAAATGTCTCCAGCTGCACACATGGAGTTGGCAGCACAGTGGCACTTGCGCACTTGCCAGGCTGATGACACTGGCAAGCTGGCTAGAGGACGCGTGTGTGGGACAGGAGCTCAGGGCGGAGGTGCACTTGCAGCCTCCGCTTCTGCCTCTCTTTCGCGCTCTGAGGCCTGGCCCACGTCAGCCTGGAGCTCGTTCGTGCTCCAGAAGCGCTCAAGGCTCGCTCCCTTCGAGAATCTCAGGTGGAAACGTCTATTTGGGGCTTCGTATGGACTTGGGAGCTCGTTCGCTCGCACCGGAGCAGGTGCCCAGAGCGATTCTTTTCTAGAGAGAGCCCCCCCCGCGCACTGCCCACAGCATGCGGAGAGGTGCTATTGGGAAATCTATTTTCGCACGGTGAGATTGGTCTTGCTCCTCGTACATGCATGTGTATGCCAAGTTGGGATGACAGTCGAGGCAAATAGCCGAAATTGCCGCAAGGCAAGCAAGCTGTTAGTTCTGGGGTGAGCTGAGGATGCCATTGCGTCACCAGAGTTGCCGGATGACCAGGCGCATGCGTGAAGGGTTCAGAGCTCCGACGGCGCGGGTGCTTTCATATCTTTTGGGATTTCTTTGGTCGTCAGGCATGTAGCTTGCTGGCGGAAGTGGCAACCTACCCTAGTTGCTTGGCGAGCCAACAGCGCCTGTGTTGTGTAATGTCACATGCAATTCCGGTTCTTGCTTTCTAGTGGAAAATGCATTTCTCGATCTCCACCGGCGGTCACCAGCAGGCCTCCGCTGGCTTTGCTCTTCAGCCCAGAGGTCTGAGGCCCATGTGTTATTTGCTCCAGTTTTGCTGTAAGTCTGCATTTGCCAACATGAGGCGGTGGCACCGAGCTTGCCGCTGACGCTTCAGCCGCAGAAGCCACGCCAGGCATATGGATACGAGTCGGAGCCTTTCCGTTCTGCTGTCCGGCTGGCGGTTGATGACAGGTGGGTGACATCGTAAAGCCGGTTCGCCGCAGGCTGCTAAACACCTATCCAGCGCTTCGTGGCTTGGCGGCATGTCGTCATTGTCCTGGCGGGGGCAGGGACTCCATCCTTGGCAGGCTGCTTTGAGAGGAGGCGTGTTTATGGTGCGATTTCGAGGGCATGCTTCTTCTGTATTAGAAATGATTATCCGGTCGGTTGAACCACCTGGACGCATGCTGTAAGCTCGCAGACTGTTGTGTTGCACAGCATATCGTGCATTCAGGTGACATGATTGGAGATCCTTCAGGAAAACACGGAAATTGCCTTCAGCTTCTTGGATCTTCTTGGTGTGTAAAACATCACAACTTGTGCTTCCCCTGTGCCACAGAAGCTGCAGTAGCCATCTGCACTTCCCACCAAGCCTGGAAGGCATGAGGGCAGAACATGGCAGAACGAGCTGCTTCTTTGCCAAAGGCATGCGAGCTTCAGACACTACGACCTGTGTGGAGATACCTTGGAGGACACACACAAAAACACGTGCGGGTTTTGTGTGTCAGGGCTGTGTCTGCACACCGTGGTGGCGTGTTGCGAGGAGTATCAAGCTTCTGCTGCGCGCATCGCTGCAGAGCTTTGGATTGTTTGCAGATTTCAAGACACAACTGTGAAATCAGCTTTTATGCATGTGCTGGACAGCTTCTGTTAACCTTATAGTTTGCGTGGTTGGGTTGTTGCGTCGGCTCTCCAAGAAACGCGCCTACGCGCCAGCGTCTCGCCCGACTGCTGGCTGCGCACTGAAGACGGAGGTGGGGGGAGTCGAACATGGCAAGGCCCCTTCTGCGAGTTCACGAGTGTCTGTTCAGGCAGGACTTTTCTCGGGCTCAGAGGCTGGGAAAGCACAGCCAAACATTCCTTGTGCTGCATGGCGACAGTTTTGTGACAGGTGGCCACGCAGACGGGTCAGGGTGGTCTGACGCCGTTGGAGCGCCTCGACCAGAAACCCGGCAGGGTCCGTTCTGAGTTGCCGCTTCTGCATGTCTCGTGTGTGCTTTGTGCATTGTGGTGCAGAAGGTGCGCGTTGATCTCCCTCGGTGCAAACGGCTTGGATTGCATGTCCATCCTGTCTGCAGTCTGGTGTCAACCAGCGGAAGAGCAAAGCATCCTGGAGAGTCCCAGTTGCACACGGCTGCTGCACAAGCCTGCACTTCCGGGAGCCCGTAAACTGAATCTTCCAACGTCTCAGGTTCATAAGCTGATGGCGGGAATCTTGAAGACATGTAACGAATTCAAAAAGGAATCTAAGGGATACGGTGCGTTGGTGAGAGAAGGTGTCGATCAGAACTATATCAGTCACTGGTACAGCAGCCAGCGAGTGCTTGCAGAGTCCGCGGCAGTTGACGGGTCCAGCCTCGTGTTGAAAGCTTCTGCAAAGCCCTGCTTCGAGTTGGTTTACTCGCTTGTTCACAGTTCGCGCTTTGCCCGGTTGGCTGTGCCTGGGCGACCGAAGGGCTTGCAGAGTGGAATCTGGCGGCTGTGAGGATCTGACGACAAAAGCAGCAAGGCCTTGAACAATTCCGGAATCCCAGAAGATGAAGATTTGAGACGGCCTGGTTGTACGAACTCACAGATTTCGCACAGCACGCGAAATTCAACAAGTCGCCAACTCTGTGTGGGTGCAGGCATTTCGTCATCCCACCGGCATGCAATGTCTTAAGTCTTAATCTCGTTCACACACTTTTACAGAGAGTCTGCAGCTCACAGGCGGCATTGTCATGAGTTTGCTGTATGCTGCTAAGAAGATCCTGTCTTGGTGTCACATCATCACATCCGAGGATGAGGGAGTACGACCGGAGCCTCCTCATGGCATTGTCACCAAATGCTCCATTCGACACGGTCCTTCCAGAATGACGGGGCGCCTACAAGTAGGACGCTAGGACCTAGGAATCGCGAAGACGGAAGCTCGCCTCGGCCGTGCTCGTGAGCTCGCGCTGGACAGGGACAACGAGCAGGACAAGCACAAGCACGAACGCTACAGCTTCAGCTTGTGACGAGACGGCGGAAAAAGCGGTGCAGCAGAAGATGGCACGCTGTTATGGATCTGGACGAGTCACAGATCGTATGGCATCTGGCTAAGTAAGAAGGTCGGGAATGGAGAAACATTGTCATCGGCGTGCCAGCGCTGTGGCAGCTTTCTGAGACATACCTTCTCACATAGCCTGCCTTGGACAATTCTGCCCCTGAGGAATCAAAGGAACTTCATCACAAAGTTCTTTGCTGAGGGATGCGGCCTCGGTGCTGCCGAGCTCTGAATTTCGAAGTGCTTTGACAATGCCACCTTCGACTTCTAGGCACTCACATCCTGTCCATGGATGATGATGTGGAGGTGTGGAGCTCGAAAGTGCATACTCATGTGCTGTTTCTTGCACGCCCGTGAATGTACAAACGCTGTCAGGACTTGTACCTTTGTGAACCACTGTCGCAGCAATCAAGCGCAGAAGCAAAGAGCTCAGACACGGGCGTGTGACGC